TGATTATTGGGACCTATAATGCCCACAACTCGCTTATTGGAGCACCTGGTTTCCAATCCACCCACCCACGGCGCGGTGTGGCAGCGGCCGCGCTAAAGGTCGGGTGACGTCAGGGCGCAGAACGGACCGTGCCTAGCATCTTGGAACATTATAATTTCGCAACCAAATTCTGTCGTTGACCTAGAATTCCATGATCGGATGATAGAGGTCAGGGCTCTCGCATTAAAGAGGCCGAACTGAACAAAGAAAGGCAAATCAGCCGAATTGATAGCAAAACCCTCTGCAATGCCACGACGGCTTTCAGATCTGTAACTTAGCGCTCGAACTGAGGTCGACATATTGAGAACAATACGCGGTTTGAACACGTGCGGCAAACGCACTACGATTAGTAGTACGCTTTCAAATGTGATGATTGGTAGTCCGTTTTCAAATGCTGGATATCCTCCCCAAAAAACACACTTTTCCTCAATGAGGGCGAGACCTCCCATGCGCGCTCGCCCAGCCGTCGCTAGTTGGCGAAATGGGACACTTTTATATGAATATTGCAGACACCCACGTTTACAATCACGGAAGGTCATGTCGCACATGCCCTCATATCACCGTGCACCATACATCGGTGCCGTCCTCAACCCAGGGAGGCCTTCGACTGGAATGGACGGGCCAACATCACCGTGCATCGTACATCGGTGCCCTCCCCGTCCCAGGAAGGCCTCTGATTAGAGTGATTAGACCGGGGTTGACTCAAAAGCTCTCACTGATGAAAAATGATCCCTTACCCGTGTAAGAGGTCCAATCATGGCGCAGGGACACCAGTTCAGCTTATCACGGAATCATCGCCGGAAAGGGACGCAATCGACACAAAAGGCGCCTGGAATTTGAGCTCCCGTAACCGCCCCAGTTCAGAAAATGGTCCTCTGCCGATGCAGTAGACCCTGTTAGGCACTGTGGGCCCCTAGCCGGCAAATGGCCCTGCACTGTCTCAAGGATATGCCTAATGCAAGAGGTCTTCTCAATGGCATTGGCAGGCGCCGGTCTTGCTCCACCTGGGAAATAGACCGCAGTCGGCACAAGAGGCTGGCTTCCTGGTACTGGCGATAGTGGTGGATCCAGAGTATCGTCAAGGGAGGGGCACGCAAAACTGTGCCCCTTTCCGCCCTCTAAAGTTTGGGTCCCACCTAAAAAATTACCGTATTTCGGCCGTTAAATTTTCAGATTACTATGCATGCTTTTTGATATATATGACGTCATTGTCATGTGCGCTGCCCTAGGAAGCTAGGTATACTACGCATGTACAAACATGGAGCACGTTCACTTTGTTCAAATCATGTTGGATTTTTCATTTGAGGCTAAGTATTTCTTTAAGAGTGTGCATGGCAGGAGTACTAAGATCGGACGTTAAATACCACCAAAATCAAACACGACAATTAATTCTAAAGTTATGTACGGTCAGCCGGCTTCCGGCGGCAAGGCGGTAGTAGATGTGATCAGCTGATGGCTGATGACTAATGCAGAGTTTTTGTCTTGACTGTTATGACGGGGCTCAAAATGTACTAGCATTCAAAATGCGTTCAGAACATGAAGCATAAGTAAAATAAATGCCACAAATGGAATAACCAACGGAAATGACATCTGTGACGTCAGCGACGCGCAGGATTATGTACGCAATTGCGCATACAAATCAATTGGCGCATATCCAACTGCTGGTCTAAGGCAAAGGCGCCGAGCGAGATTGTCATCGTGTATATCTTGGGCCTATGTAGCTCAAATAACGTAGCCAGGTCCGTACACACGAGCAGACGAAACGCCCTGGCGTTCGTGGCTGGGCGCCAAGATGGCAAGCACATGCGGGGCTTTCAGCAGCAGAGTCAGATCATTCTAACTTCATCGGAAGGGCCTAGGACCAATGTGGAGGGCCTCGCAGCGATGAACAGTGCTTCGGTCGATAAACATTTAGGGTCACGTCAACAGCGTGGGCCCTCCGATAAAATGGGAAACCCGGGACCGCTGGCGACGACAGCAATGCGATCGAGGGTGCTGCTGCAGGCCAACAAAGAGGCTCCGTCAACAGTATATGCTCCTCAGAGCAAACCAGTAGAGCCCATAATCAATACGGTGGTCCCCCGGACGATGGAACATTCCGGCAGGCCAATGTATAGGGCCCGGCCAGAGCGCAGGGCTCTCTGAACAAACGGGACGCCTGATCGATCAAGAGTGCCAACGCATGTTAGCAGATATTGCGACAACAGCAGCGTAGGGCCCTCCAAGGAAATGCGAAGAGATGAAGGGCAACGTGGGAGGCTCCTCAGCGTTCGGACTGACCCTGCAAGGCATCCGACAACAGCGTAGGGCGTTAAGACCGTGTAAGGAGTCTCAAAATCTCCCGCAATGCAATCTCAATCAGCGTAACATTTCTTCTTTTTTTGTCTGCTCAAAAGTCCAAAGACGTCTAATTTTAATGTGTTTCGTGTTACAAAACTGTGTCCGTTCAGCCGGCTATGGGCCCCCTTCCGATCCAATGGGCCCGTCGGGGTCCAACTGGGGAAGGTTGTGGCCCCGTGTTCCCCGCCCTCTGGACTCGTCACTGGCTCGGGCAGGTCAACAGGTGGGCTCCGACAAGAGCGTAGCACCTTCCAAGCAATTTTTAGTATCCAAGGCACAACGTGGAGGGCCCCCGAACGACGGAGTGCACCCGAACAGGTGAACAGATTGGGTCCCCGACAAAAGCGTAGGGCCCGGCATTCAAATAGGATATACCCAAGGCCCAATGTAGAGGGTCCCAAACGATCGAGTGTGCCCGAGCAGGTGAACAGATGAGGCCCCCAACAAAAGTGTGGGACCATCCAAGCAAATAGGAAGTACCCAATACGTAATGTGAAGGACCCCAACGATCGAATGGGCTCGAACAAGTTAACAGACAGGCCCGTGACAAGAGCGTAGACCCCTCCATTCAAATAGGAAGTACCCAATACCCCATGTGGAGGGCCCCAAACGATCGAGTGTGCCGAGCAGGTGAACATATGGGGGCCCCCAACAAAAGCGTGGGGCCATCCAAGCAAACAGAAAGTACCCAATACGTAATGTGAAGGACCCCAACGATCGAATGCGCTCGACCCCGGTGCGGAGGGCCCCCAAACGATAGAGTGTGCGCGAGCGAGTCATCAGACGGGGCCCAGGCAAGAGCGTTGGGCCCTCCGCAAGTGAGAGGAAATTGGGAGGGCCCTGGACTGATGTAGAGGGCCTACTAATATGTCACGAATGTGTCGGTAGGCTAAACCTGGCCAGTATGAAGGGCCGGCGCGCTATCAGATAGGGCCTCACAAGAGCGTAGGGCCCTCCGAGCAAATGCAGAAAAATGTGAAGCAACGAGGAAGGCTCCTTGATAATCAGGCTGCCCTTGAAAACGGGCACAAAGGGCTCCGTCATCAGCATAGGGCCTCTGTATAGAGTAATGAACCTAACAGAAACCCTTATCACCACCCCCTTAATAAGCAATTAAGATGATTTGTATCTGCTCGTGGGCCCTTCACTTTCGATTACGACTGTTCTTGGTCGCCTGGAGGCCCAAAAACCTCCAATTTTGTTGTGCTTTTCGTTATATAACTGCGTCTGTTCGGTCGGCTATGGGCACCTTCGGGACCTTACGGGGATAGCCCCGTGCCCCCCTCCCGCTGGATCCGCCACTGACTGGCGGTCTCTCACCGTTATGGGCCTTCCTCTCTCTGGCCAACAGTTTTGATCGACACAGGAGGCCTTCTGACTGGCATTTTAGAGCTCTTCCAGGCCCGTAACACGATCTCCATCCAGCCCTTCGGGCCCTTGGTCGCTGGCTCCTAAGGCCATTTGGGCCTCTCGGGACCTAAAAGGGCATGCGCTCTTTGTGCATTTTCCTCTCTGCCTACGCTCCCGCTGCCAACAAACATATCCGTGTCGCTACCACACGAACGCCCATCTCACATGCAAAAGGATAAGATTGTCGTTCATCAGTGGTCCGTACTTCTTGATATCACCATGATCACGAGACTGAAAGCCATCGCCTGTGATGGCGAACCTCAGCAGCTGATTGAGAAATTTCCAGGTTGTTTTTGATGATAACGGTGCGTCGAACCACCTTTTATGCATCCGATTTACGTAAGAACGATTTTGCATCACACCCCATTTATCACTACACGCACCTCGAAACGAACTGTGTGATGTGCAGGCAGACACTATAACGTTAAGTTTGTTGTTATGATGCCACTGGGGATCGGTCAGTGTTAAATTGTGCACGATGGGCTGCTTGCTTTGTGAGATAGCCTGAGTACCGCTTCGCATTGTTTTCATTTTATCATTGGAGCTCTCTCAGTAATGTGGGGCAAAACATGTTATCTAACTGAGGAACAGTCTATAGATTGTTGCTGTCACTGGCGCTTTACGAAGCACTCAAATGCTGACGCCGCACAACGTCGCCCGCTTCTCGCCCTGGCAGGAATGGGGTCGGCACCATGAGGAGTCCATCAATTGAGAGACACAAGATGAATAACCAGAAGTATCATGACAGAGTTCGTTCACAACAGCAGATTTTCGTCTGGCTCGTCAAAGTAGTACGATTGAGAAAAACTTAAACTTGAGACAAAATCTGCATATTTTGGCCAAAATCGCTAGGCGTACTATTCATGGTTATAGTAGAACAAAAATATGGTAGCTCTGACGTATTTCACCGATACGGTTTGTTTTGGGGGATGCACTCGATTATGATGACGTCATTATACAACTTTTTCAATTGTCTTGCACTTAAAGGTTTTTAATTTTAATAAAATTTGGCTTGTATACACTACTTAATAGTAAATATATCTGTTTAGTAGATCTAAAATCTTGTTTAAGTGCAAATTTTATTTATTATACGTCATTATATTTTATATGTCCCTTGCTCAAAACAATAGCGAGAGGTTTCTGCCCGTCACGTGACATAGCCATTTGTTGACAGTTATGGGGTACAGTGTCGAGGTAGGCGTGAGCGAGGAAGTGGTGGGAGAGAGTGGGGAGGGAGAAAACGGGTTGGCGCGTGCGATCCATAGTTGTGGTGATATAGCGCCTGGATATCTGAAAGAATTAGTTTGGGAGAAGGTCGTTGTGGATCCTGCTGACACTGATTGCTTCCCCATGAGTGTTGTGGTGTGATTGCCGCAGACCC